TTTTTTTTTTTTTTTTTTTTTTTTTTTTTTTTTTTTTTTTTTTTTTTTTTTTTTTTTTTTTTTTTTTTTTTTTTTTTTTTTTTTGTGTGTGTATACTTAATACAACAATGAAATTGTTTCGTATAAAAAAATGTTGAGTTTGAAACCTTATAGACTCAAATTTAATCAAAGTCAGACCTTAAGGACCAAAAGTGTATATTTGTTCTTTAATAAATTTGTCTCTCAAAATCCGTTCAGATGCCCAAATTTAATCAAAGTCAGACCTGAAGGACCAAAAGTGTATATTTGTTCTTTAATAAATTTGTCTCTCAAAATCCGTTCAAATGCTTTTAGGAACATGTCATGTCTGTTCTTTGTTCATATCCATACTTCTTAGGAGATAGTCTATCTTTTTCAGTTTTGTGTTTGATGTTGCTGCAAAATAGTCTTAAGTATATTAATGATGGGTTTGAAGCCGTCTATTAGTTTTCTTCTTCCATGGGATCTCATCACAGCAGTTTTATCGAGAAATGGTTTGATTAGTACTTTCGACTATGGTATTTTTCAAGTTCCACATTGAAGATTATCCATATTTTGGCTTCATTGCAGTTCGTATAAGGTCTGGTAGGTATGGAATTCTCCAGCTGTTCTTTGGTTGGTTGTATTGTTAGTTCCAAGTTTTGGGTTGTATGTATATTTTTCTTAGCTTTTTGGTTGTTTTTATTTTTTTTTTGGTTATCTTGTATTTTCTCGATTCTGGATTGAGTTTTTTTTGATGACTCAGTGTATTTTTTTTATTCAATCAATTAAAATTTGTTTTTTTTCTAAAGAAAACAAAAACAAAAACATTCCTGACAAACTCATTCTTCCTCTGGAATACATCCGTTACTGGCAGGGATGAGTATTATGCTTGGGGTCTGCATCAGATAGCTAAAGCTGTGAGCTTCTTAAACAATGACTGTAAACTTGTAAGTAGTTTGATATTTTGCATCTGGATCTTAATTATGCTAATATTCTATGTGGTCAAACCATCTCTTCATTCTCACCTTTGAATTGGCCCTGCCCCAGCCTGCCTCCCCTGCTCCCTTTCAAGTTTCAACTTTTTAACTAGCTAATCTCCAACAGGTTCATGGTAATGTTTGCTTGGCCAGCGTAGTTGTAACTTCAACCTTGGATTGGAAGCTCCATGCTTTTGACGTGCTTTCTGAGTTTGACGGGAACAATGAATCTTCCAGTGGGCAAATGCTGGTAATAGTATCTCTTGAAGTCTGGAGTTTTGTGCGTGGATGTTTCCTTATCTTTTCTATTGTGTTCCCCATGTTATGTTTATGAGCTGGAATTAAGAAGCAAAAGGTGACAATTAATACTGAAAGCCTCCTTAGTTGTGAGATGTTTTAAATAACTTAACATTGACTTATAGTAGATGATATTTTATAACATAAATGGTGGACTGTCAGATTGAATGCTACTGAGAGGTCTCAGTCTCAAAAGTGAAAGTCTGTTTAATTGACATTGTACTCTAGTCAATCAGTAATGGATGCTTTCTCCATGAAAATAGATGTGGCAAGAATCAATGGTCATTATTTACATTTTGTGTCTTTGTTCTGCTTTTGGCTTTTGATTACGTAGGAATGTACAAATGGTTTATTTTAGATTTTTTCTTTAATTGGTAGCCAAAAGCTATTGTTTATACAGAAGGTACAACAATTATAATAATATTTTAAGAGGGTAAGATGTTCCCCTTACTGTTGATGTAAAAGCAGATTACAGAAAAAATTCCGCCTAGGATATTTGGAAGTGAAACAAAGACAAAATATCAAAGGGCTCTCTTTCTAGACCAACTAGAGTGAGATATTTAACTCTAGACGTACCAGTCCTAACAATTTAAGCTAGGAAATCTTTCATTGTGGCACTTGCAACAGATAAAGATAGTCATCCTTTGCTTTCTTTTAGGTCCTCTTATTGCACTCAATCTTGGATTTCTGTGTTGGTAACTTGGGTATTTTCTTCAGCAATATGCCTGGCTCATTGGATCCCAATATAAACCGATGGAACTGGTGAAGTCTGACTTGTCTGTTATTAGAAAATCCCCTCCATGTGCCATTGATTCTTGGGGATTGGGTAAGTATTGATTATTCCTACTGTTTGGGTTGCTTATTTATTGGTTTTTTTCAATGAAGGAATTATAGTATCCTGTTGTGCTTTAGTAACCTTGTAGGAATTCTTACTTTGTTAGTTATTGACAATATATACAATTTAAAAGGAAGAGTCCTTGATGATTGAAAATTTAACATTTACAAACAAATTAGCAAACTTTGATTAGGAGTATGAACAAAAATCTCCTGCTTGCAGCCCACCCTCAACCCAAGGGATGCATGTTCGATTCTCATTATTGACATCTTGAGTATGAGCTCAATCCTCTGCTACAGAACGTGAACAAATAAAATATATTTGTGAATATGTTTTTTTATTTCCTTCAAAATACTGAATTTTTGTACTGGCAATGGCATTATACTTACAAGACTGGTTGCTATGCTAATCACGTTCTTGTTTCAATATTTTGCAATCTGACGGTTTCCAAGGATGGATGCCTATTCTAATATAGTGGTTGCTTCTCAATCAGTTTGCACTCCTGGTGTTGTGACCAATAGAAGTTATAAATTTAAATCCTTTGGCATCAGGAAAAATCTATATGAACTTGTGCAAAGGGGAAATGGAATTGGAAATAATATTGTCTAATGTAGTGGTTCTGATAAATGTAGAAGATATTTTGACACTATTATCATACATACATATCTTCTCACATTGTTATCATACGTTTACTTTCACTTGAAGTAATGTTACTTCATTTTTGTTGATAGGTTGTCTCATCTATGAACTTTTTTCTGGTTTAAAGTTGGGCAAAACAGAGGAGCTGCGAAATACTGCTTCCATCCCCAAGGTTTCTATTCTTATTTGAAAAATGCTCATGGAATGTTGCTTTTTCTCTTATTCTTTTTCTCAAAGATTTTCATTCCTCACAATCAACTGTATGCTATACTTTAGCTTTAAACAGTTTGTTCTCATGTTTTCTCTATTTCGATTCTGTCTGTGCACCAAAATACTTTGGCAAGGTGAAAAACAATGTTGTTTAGGAGGAAACGCTGATGAAGAAGTCTCTTTCCTTAATATATATGTGTAATGGAATGAAAAAGCTTGGAAAGGGCCCATTGTGAGGCTTTTAGTTCTGCCAAGTCAAACCAATCAATCCATAATTTCAGATGATTCTTGAAAATCCAAAAATGATGTTCCAACTTAATTTCAGAAATTTAGGCCTTCACTGCATTAGACCACATATTTATTAAATAAGCCGTGACATTCTAATCCCATGGTTTTTCATAGGAATAGAAAAACGTTTATGAATTTCATTGGATAGTATGGAATCTGTTTCTCCGTTCCAAATCACAAGCTTGAATTTGTAAATAAGTCATAAACTTCTCCCCTGCTTTCATAGTGCTACCAAATGAGATTTTCTCAACTCTTGGTAAATATGTGTGGCTCATTTATTAGAGGGGAAAATTGCAAGGTTTAGGTCAAGATTGTAGTCTAAAATGTTGAATTGCAAAGTGCATTGACTAACTGGTCTAAAACATCACAAGGATTGCAAATTTCCGTCAAAATCCCTGAAGTTTTGGTTTTCATGATCAAACATAACAACCTATGATTCTAGAATGTTCACGTTACTTCCTCGGGAACATTAACCGGGTTCTTTCAAAAGCAAGTCAGTTTTTGCTTATATGTGTCTTTGTATTTTCTGCTCTATTTGGTATACAAATTCATGTTGCTTTTTTACTTGCAATCTCATTTGATTGCTTTTGAATATTGAGGGATTTGTGGCATACAGATTCATGTTACTTTTTAATTTGCTCTTACTTTATTGCTTCTGAATCTTGAGTGATTTGATTTCATTCGTGGATGTGTTTGCCAGTCTTTACTTCCAGATTATCAACGACTATTGAGCTCTATGCCTTCTCGCAGGCTGAATACATCCAAGCTTATAGAAAACAGTGGTGAGCTTTCTTATACATCCAAGCTTATATTTTGATTACCAGAATGCACTTTGCATCATTATGGCCTGATTAAAATCGCTTTGTAAATACTTGGATATTAAAGGGCTATGGGAATGTGAGCTGTAGAAAGGTTAGAAATATCATTTTCTATTTTTAAAAATGAAAAATGCTTTAAATTTATTCAATAATTTTCTTTAGGGTGCTTGTGACGCATCAAAAAAGGAGGGGCGGGGTTGAAAAAATCCATGTTAGCATTGGACATTAGCATCCTAAATCATAATTGGTATTAAAAAAACTCAAGTACTCAGGTGTTTTTAAATTTATTTTGAAGCAATTTATTAAGCAAAATGTTGTTAAATTTAATTTAATTTTATACAATTAATTAATTTCTAAAAAAGACTAGTTTTTTATAATAAATAAATAAAAATAAAATTTTCATTTTATATTTCTCATTCCAACATCTAATACAATTATTATCTTCTTTCCAAATATCTTATTCTCAAACTTCATATTTACTTTTCCATCTGTTAAATACTCTTTATGCTTTCCGAACACTTTTATCTGCGGTTTTTTTAGTAGCTATTTTTAGATGTCAATAGACTGTACCACTTAGTGTATAAACTGAAATTATGATTTGTTTAAAGAAGAAAAAAGAAAAGAAAAAGAGAGAACTATTGAAAGAGAAGTACAAATAGATCCCTAATAGTTATCTAAAATGATATGTCATGGTTTTTTCTGGATGAGACAGAGATGTAACATCCAAAAAAGGGTTCAAAATTCGGGCCAACAACTGAGTAAGTACTCAAGGATATGGGCCCCTTGAATACAGGGAAAGGTTAAACACCAACCTTCCAATATAAGTGGATGGTAAAATTAGAATAAAGTCTTAAGAACTTGTGAAGAGCTCTCCAACTTTGGGGCTGATTGTGTCTCCTTTTATTAAAGAGAAACAAGAATTTCTCCATTATTAGAAACTTACGAGAAGAACACATAGTAATAACATCCTTTCCTTATAAAACTGCCAAAATGAATTATTAAAATGGCCATCCAGTTCCAACTACAAAGTTGTTCAGGTAATCAAAATAACAAAGAATTGATCAGTAGATCAACATGCATGCCTCTCCCACACTTTCCCTCGTACTTTTCAGTTTTTTTTTTTTTTTTTGTCTTTAAGTTTTTTTATTATATATCATGTATATTTTATTGCACTCGTGTCTCATCATTTAAAAGTTATTTTCTTTTCAGTCATTTTCTTTTTACATTTCTTATTAGTCTATCTTCTATTTTTTTCTTTCATTTTAACTTTCTGCTCTTGCGTTTATTGATTAATTTGCTATCTATGAATGATAGAATATTTTCAAAATAAGTTGGTCGACACTATACACTTCATGGAAATTCTTAGCCTAAAGGATAGCGTTGAGAAGGATACCTTCTTCCGCAAGCTCCCAATTCTAGCTGAACAACTTCCTCGTCAAATAGTACTGAAAAAGGTGACTTCCAAACTACAGTATTTGTTTTCTTGATGTGCATCGTAAGTATCTCATTCTTTTGTAATTTTACAGTTGCTTCCGTTATTAGCTTCTGCCCTTGAATTTGGTTCAGCTACTGCCCCTGCCTTGACAGCACTGTTAAAAATGGGTTCTTGGCTTTCAACTGAAGAATTCAATGCTAAGGTTAAACCAATGTTGAATTATTATTTCGTTCAAGTTTTTGTTTGTTGATCTTTTACTTTTTTCTGTCATGGGTTTGATTCTGGTCTCTTACTTTTTGTTGACTCGGGTTTGGCCGCTATGATGTTCAGGTTCTACCTACGATTGTGAAATTATTTGCTTCCAATGACCGAGCTATCAGAACTGGACTCTTACAACATATTGATCAATTTGGAGAATCATTGTCTTCCCAAATGGTTGATGAACAGGTATGACATCAGTGATAATTATTGTATCTACAGATAAGGAAACTAGTTTATGTTGTTGAGGAGAAAATGACGTTGGATGAGTATTAGATGACTTTTCCACTACCAATTGAAAATATATTAATTTACATTTGAGCTTGATTTCAAAAACAAAACTAAGATTCTGTATAGGGATACAATCCTTTCTCTCTTTCTCTTTTTCTGAAAATTTGCTAGGCATGAGCAGAAGGCAGAAGAGTTTTTTACTATAAGGTGAATAGTTTTCCTATACATTTTGGATGCGATTGTTGTTGAAATTTCCTATCGACCTATTGTTAGTTGTTACGAAGAGTTTCGTAAGAACTTTTTACTTTTTATTTTGATCAATTAGAGATCAGTCCTTTTCAAGTCCTTCGGACATGGAGGAAATTAAATCTGCTTCTTTTATATCTTTCGTATTTTCACGTTACTTTGTATCTCTATGCGTACATGTATAGAATAACACACGATGGTGGGCACCTGCTCTCACACTATGAATGCTTCTTCAATGGGGGTTGATTAGATGCTTATGTGATGTAGGGAGGGAAATATTGCATTTTATATTTCTGAGTTTGGCTGGTTATGTTAATGGCATGGCATATTTCATCTGAAAATTTTACAATCTCACCTTGTTTTACTTAGGTCTATCCTCATGTTGCCAATGGGTTCAACGACACATCTGCTTTTCTTCGTGAATTAACTCTGAAATCCATGCTTGTTTTGGCTCCCAAGGTATGCATGCCATTTTTTACTCTTCTTAATGTTTCCCAATAATATTTTAAAATGGTAATAATTTCTTTTTTCTTTCGGTAAGGAACTTGAGACTTTAGAAATGAGCAATCAAACAAAAGAAACAACCTATGGCCACATGGACCTGATGTCTTTATACTAGGGACAAGGCTTCTCGTTCTTTTTAGGAATCACTTGTATGAAGAAACAATGAAAGAATACAAGAACAAACAAGAAAACGAGTGAAACTAACATTAAAAGAGGCTTCAAGCAAAGTAAGAACTAAAAGGTAATTACTAAAATCTTTGTACGCTGAGGCCTAAAGAGAGGTTTTAAACCTTAGAAGGGACCAAACTTCCACCTTCTCAGTTTCTAGTATAGCCCATAAAAGTTGCTGCCAAAACAACCATGCCTTTTCTCTTCGTAAGTCTCTCTCACCCCACACCAATTCCCCGACCTCATGTTACCTAACCATGTGACTCAGTGGAGCTCGACCATCTTCAGGTAGCATAGACCAATGACACCCCACTTCTTGTTTGTTCTTCTCAATCAATTGTAAGGCTTTTTCCATCTATGGAAATCAAGGACTTCACATCATTGAATCATTGAGAGACTGTTCCTTCACCCTTACCCTAAAATTGGACTCTCACTCTTGGCTGATCTCTTGTTTCATATCTCTCATCGACTTCCCCTGAACCTAAAGTACTCCACAGAGAGTCAAATTGATAATTTGCCTTCGGTTGAAAAAGTACCCAATCGTAAAGGGCATTGTGTTGAGATCGCCAAACTCAGTGTGAATGGAGACTTAAATAAGATTATCCCACCACTTGATGAAGTCAAATCTGGTTGGAAGATTTTTTTGAACTTTTTTTTTAAAACCCTCCACCACCACCATCCCCCATTAATGCCAAAGGTTTGTACAAGGTGGCGTTAAAGGCTAATCATTGTTTGAAGATTCCTCAGACCTCTACCCCAACATAAATTTTGGTGACCGAACTCCCATCAAAGAATACTCCTTTGTCTGATTTTTGCTAAATTTTATATGGAAAGGGCAATCATTCTTTATCAGCAGCACCTACATGATGACTCGTATGAGATTGTTAGAGCTTTGCAACACGTGGCCACTGATCTTGGCATCCTTAGCCCACTCCAACCAAATAAATTTCTCCTAGATGTTAAAACAAGTAACAAGGACGTATTTTGTGCAATATTAAGGGCCAGTACAAGGTGGGTTCATATTAGGTGAAATTTGAAACTTGGAGCACAGAGGCCTTCCATAGAGACCAGGTTCCATCATATGGAGGATGGATAGGGTGCAAAACCTCCCATTTGACAAATTATTCTTGGAGATCTTCAAGCAAATGGGTGATTTATGTGGTGGTTTTGTGGAACATCTTATAAGACACTATCGAGAATGGACATGATGGATTTTTGTTTGAAGATTTAAAAAAAAAAAAAACTCCATGGCTTTGGCTTGTCGTTTTTCATTTTCTGTTGTCCTCATTTGCCCATGTGGTGGTGCATATCGACCTGTTTTTCAACTGAGACCTTCACGTCAGGATTTGATGCTGGAATTCATGGGCAAATTCCCTACTGACACGTCTTCTCCCCTTACGGTTTAGATCAGATGAGAGGATCTTTATTTAATCAAGTTGTGAACCATTTACTAATAGAAACTAGTATCTATATTACCTACCTAGCTTACGGAAACCAACTATTTTACCTTCTAATGGCTTGCTTTTAACTAACTAATGTTACGGCCTACTAACCATTGTTCCTTTAGTGGCTAGATTTCAACCTTCTAATTGCAAAATAACTAACATGTCCACCCACAACATTTCATCCATCTAAAATGTAATTACACCCATACAAAGTGGTCTGAGTTTACCATAGCATGCACTTGGAATGCCCATGAGGTGTTGTAAGGTTTGTTGAAGGTTATGAGTTAACGGAGGTCAGTTGCTCCGCCCAATGCCAAAACAGTGAAAACGTACTGCTTTCTTCAAAAACATAAAACTTAATAATTAGATACCAAATGGCTCCTAAGTTTTCTTAAAGAAAGATGCCTGTGTTCTAATCTGAATTCTAGTTGAATTACTAAAAGTAGGGAAGAATATATGCTACCGAATCCAGAAAATTTGAGGCCAGGGTATTTCTTGAGGACACTTCATGTTTTTCTATCATCTTGAATCGTTGGATGTGCGTTAATATTTTAGCTTATCTTTCTTTTTTAATGTCTTCATGATGGTTTCAATCAATAATTGTCTTATTTCTTTTTATTTATGGAGTTTTGAGATTATCTGAATTGGTATGGCAGCTTTCTCAACGGACTATTTCCGGGTCATTATTGAAGTACCTTTCAAAGTTACAGGTACTGCTTTAGCCATTTGTTGCTAGAATTGTTTTTTTTATCTTCCTCTATTCTGGTTGGTGTATGTGCAACTATCTATTTTTCTTGACGATCAGTCCCAAAGAACCCTTCAAATTAAAATGGAAAATATAAATAAATCTCTTGGCCAAGACACCACTAACTAACTGAATATCTTATACAGCTTTTCTATCTTTATCCTTGTCCTCACAGGATGGAATACTATTCTGTTTGTAACATAAAAAATAGGTCCTACCTTTACAAGCTTGGACACACAAAACATGCTTCTTTTATTTCCTGGATAACTAAATCCACTAAATAGACTTAGATTCCTCTCATCACACATAAACCGAGTTGGAGGTTTCACTTTTGTTATTCTTTTGTATTATAAACTGAGAACGTTTCTGAGTAAATATAGGTTTTGGGGTCTTCCTTTCCTTTTGTTTTATAAATTTCATACATCAATGAAATTGTTTCTTACAAAAATAAAAAGTTATTTATTGACAACATTTCTGAGCCCTACAGGTTGATGAAGAAGCAGCAATCCGAACAAATACGACCATATTGCTTGGGAACATTGCAAGTTACTTGAATGAAGGGGTGGGTATCTCTGTAAAGCTGCTTGCTGATTCACTCAAAACCATCAGTCAACAATCTTGATGTACTTAATTTTTAGTGATATTTTTCTTTCTTACAGCTATGTTTGGTAATAGTACTAGTGTTTCTTGGTATTTAAAATGCATGCTCTCTTTGTCCTTTATTTCAGATCACTTTTCCTCTTGTTCTTTGTTATTTGATGATCATCTTGATATGATTTTGATTTTTCTATATTTCAACAAAGCTCATGGTGTATCTTTTTTTTTTTTTTAACATTTAAACGTATATTAGTCTTTTACAGGAATAGCAACTTTGCTTTGAGTATCTAGGAAGACTTAAGAGATTCATTTCATTTGCTTTTTTTAATCATAAGAAACTGGGATTCATGGTCATAAAGTTTGGGATATTCTGGTTTGAATAGGAATCCATTTTCTGAAAGATTCTGGCTTTCGTGCTGATCCACTCTTCATAGTTGTATCATCATTTTACAGATGTTGTAATCCAGTGGTGAACGATTTTTTTTTTTTTCTTTTTCTATTGAAATAAAATCTGATTGATTTAAAATCTAAATGCAGACAAGGAAGAGAGTTTTAATTAATGCTTTCACTGTCCGTGCACTGCGTGATACATTTTCTCCAGCCCGTGGTGCAGGTATAAAATTTTTAGCCCCATTGCTTCTCTTTTCTGTTTGCCATATTAGGACCATCCAAGTGTCTCGGTTAAAGGACTTTCATACCTATTTTACTTTAATTTCTCAGAGATTTACTGTTAACTGCCCAATAAATGACGTTATCATGACAGGCATCATGGCATTATGTGCTACAAGTGGATATTATGACAGTGCAGAGATTGCAACCAGGATTCTTCCTAATGTTATTGTGCTTACTGTAGATCCTGACAGGTGTGTTATGATGTTCAACATTTTCAATACATCTTCTTATCCTCCCACCCCCATCAAATAAATAAATAATAATAATGCACATCTCGCCATGCCCTTGAAATATCCTGCTTTTTCTACATGCCTTGTGTTGATTTTATCAACACTCTTGAATAATTCAGTGTTTTGCATTAAGAAGCCACAAACTTGGTTAGCTCATATACCTATTGCTTGATGTGAATCAGAAGCTTGCATCGCGATATTTACAAACAATGATCTGTTACGTAAATTATTTTCTTTTTCTTTCATTTTTTTATATAGAAAGTTGAGCTTTCATTTCGAGCAATGAAAGAATATAAAGAACTAAAGGTCCAAACACAACTATAAAAAAAGGAGTTAAAAAAAAGTTCCTCAACTACTTGAAATAACTTCTTTCATTCCTAGTACAGTGAAGATTTTTTATTTCTTTGGAAAATATTTTCCCCATTCTGACTTGTTCTCCATTATATAGCACGCCATAGCAGACACCTTATGTAGTGGAGAACATGAGAAACAGATGGCCCTTCTAATAAATTTTATTATTGGACTAATACATGTGGACCATTTCTCTACTTGCTTCTCAAAATTGGGTTTTTTGTTCATTTCCTCTTTTTCCTTTGTATCTGGAATAAATCGTCTCATTTTGTTACTGACTTTTAATTATACAATCTATCATTTTACATCATTTCTATATTCATTAACATCTTTCATTTCGTACTTCTCTGGTTGATAGTGATGTTCGATTGAAATCCTTTCAAGCAGTTGATCAGTTCTTACAGATATTAAAGCAAAACAATGAGGTGTGTTAAATACACATTTAGCTCAAGACCTCAAATCTTTGCTTTGTTAGTCTTTTATAGTTTCTTGTTACTTAAGATTTTACATTCCTGGGCATAGATAGTCTGATACCAGTTGCTTTCATATATTTGCTCAATTACGTTTGGAAAACCAGTTGAGCTGCTGCTAGTGAGAGACAGCTAGTGTTTTTTGTTTTCTTATACTCCAAAATATACTCTCTCTCTCTCTCTCTCTCACACACACACACAGACACACACACTCACAAATTCCTGTACATATGCTGTCTTTGTAATTATTAGATGCAAGAATTAAAGTTTTCTATTTAAGCAGTATTTAAGCAGAATCCAGTGACACATAGCTTGCCTATTCCTGGAAAGAAAAAAAAAATAGGACTCCGTGTTAGTCAAATATTGGTCAACTCTCTAATAATGGAATGTGTTTTGTTGACATGTTTCCTACGGTTTATTCTAGGAAATGTCGGGAGATACAGCTGCATTAGGTTTGAACATCCCGTCTCTACCAGGAAATGCTAGTTTGCTCGGGTGAGTTCGTTTGAATATTACAATTGAAAATAATTATAATCATTTGTCTCTGGATTTCTGATGTGGTGTGTAAAGCATACGGTCAAGTCACTTTTATGGTTTGTTTTTATGCTATTGTTGGATTTTCTGTTCAAAGTTTCTTGTATCTAATATGTCACTTAATGAAAACCTTTGGTTATGCATAGAAAACACTTTTTACTGATATTGACTGTCTTATTGTGATTAGGATAATACGCCACATGTGAGATCCCACATCGGTTGGGGAGGAGAACGAAATACCCTTTATAAGGGTATGGAAATCTCTCCCTAGCAGACACGTTTTAAAAACCTTGAGGGAAAGCCTGAAAGGGAAAGCCCAAAGAGGACAATATCTGCTAGCGGTGGGTCTGGGCCGTTATAAATGGTACCAGAGTCGGACACTGGGCTATGTACCAGCGAGGAGGCTAAACCTCAAAGGGGGGGAAGACACGAAGCGGTGTGCTAGCAAGGATGCTGGGCCCCCAAGGGGGTGGATTGTGAGATCCCACATCGATTGGGGAGGAGAATGAAAGACCCTTTATAAGGGTGTGGAAACCTCTCCCTAACAGATGTGTTTTAAAAATCTTGAGGGAAAGCTCAAAGAGAACAATATCTGCTAGCGGTGGACTTGGGTCCTTACACCACCAGTGGTAATTAGTAAACACTATTGAAGTAGATTGATGTTATCGTTGTCACAGGTTTTTGCAATTTCAAAATATTGGCCATAGATACACCGTTAAATGTGTCATCTCTGCTCAAAATCTGTTCCCACATATCTATTATCCACCCTGATCTCGTATATGTATGCAGATGGGCGATGAGCTCCTTAACTCTAAAAGGAAAACCCTCTGAGCATGGTTCTAGCGCTCCTGTAAGCTCTAATGCACCTTTGGCTGCTACAAGCTCTGATTCCACATTAGGTACATTATATATTTTGAAACTGTTCTTTGAATTTATGCATGCGTCTTTAATATTCCTCAGCCATGCTAGTGTTTTTTTCATGGTGGCTGGTGATGGATATGCCTCTCATATTTGTAATTTCTTTGAACTCTTATGAGAAAGGGCGTACATCTATTTTGAAGTCATTTAGAATGGTGTTTTTTTGTACTTTTTATAATGATAATATAGAATGGTGCTTTCACTCCCCCATAAAATCGGAGACTTATTGGTGTATTGTCGTAATATCCCACATTGGTCGAGAGGAGAACGAAACACCCTTTATAAGGGCTAGGAAACCTCTCCCTAGCAAACGTGTTTTAAAAACCTTGAGGCAAAGTCCGAAAGGGAAAGCCCAAAGAGGACAATATCTGCTAGCAATGGAAAACATAGCAAGGATGAGTACCGGTTCCACTATGTAACTCTGAAAAACGCGTTTTAAAGCCTTGAGGGAAAGCCTGAATGGAAAACCCCAAAGAGGACAATATATGCTAGCTGTGGGCTTGGACAATTGCAATGGTATTAAATTTTTTGTTGATTTTATTTGCTTCCAGTTGAAAACCCTCCAACTACCTCACCTATAAGGGTAAGCTCGAGTTTCGATTTAACTGAACAACACGCAACTGAATCCCCTACATCGACTGATGGTTGGGGCGAAGTTGAAAATGGAATTCATGATGAAGATGAAAATGAGAAGGATGGGTGGGACGAGTTGGAACCGCTCGAGGAGTCTAAACCGTCTCCAGCTCTTGCCAACATTCAGGCTGCTCAAAAACGACCTGTATCTCAAATTGTGTCACAAACGAAACGACCAAGTAATGCCATTTTCATTCTTGCTTTCTAGATCATGGCTTGACTTCATAATAATAACTTATTTCGGTTCATTCAGGTTCAAGTTCGGGTTCAAGAAGTACACCCAAGCCAACTAAAGAAGACGAAGATCTGTGGGGTTCCATAGCTGCCCCTGCTCCAAGAACTGGTTCGAAACCATTGAAAGTAAAAGCAAGCACAACTATTGACGACGACGATCCTTGGGCTGCCATCGCCTCTCCCGCACCTATGACACGAGCTAAGCCATTGTCAGCTGGTAGGGGAAGAGGAAACAAACCCGCTGCTCTAAAACTAGGCGCACAACGGATAAACCGAACATCGTCGACAGGTATATGATTACATATAGTACAAATCAAAAAAGAAAAAAAGAAAGATTTCAAGATTCAAATTGCCTGCAAATTTTCCATTGTTTATTAGACTAAAAATTGGTCAATCCCCCTCCATGAGCTGTTTCATCATACTGCAATAGCATTCTTTATAGTGCAGCTTTCTTTTTCCTTGTTCAAGGAATATGATTTTGACATTTTCAAGATGTAATAAATTTCATTATTCTTTTTATTAGATTGTAATAAATCTTTCATTTCATACAAATATATACTCAAAATAGATCAAATAAGCAATGAAATTAGATTTGTTTCAACTCTTGTATTTCTCATATTACAATATTTATTATGTTTGATTTATGTGTAAGCTCGAGGCATGAATACTTAACCGAAGGTCGAAACGATACCAATCTAGAAGTGTTATTAGTATGAGGACCAAAATAGTTGTCGGAGAGTCTTAATATTAACGGTTCTTCTGTTTGAAAAAAGAAATTAATATGAACAATTAGATCGAGTCTAAGAAATGCTTTCATTGTGAATTTGTGTGACAAGCGTGTAATTATTATTATTATTATCGTCCAGCTTAAGATATACTTAATGAGCTCTATGTATTAATGAGCGGGAATTGCTGGTGTATTTCTGCAAATTGGTATAATCCATGTAATTATAAATATAATAAAAATAAAAAAAATTCAATAATAACTATAAAAGAAGATATGCATCTTTAAAACCGAATCTTTTTTTTTTTTTCGTAATCCTCATAATGCAATTTCAAGTCCGATTTTTGGTTGCACGCCCCACACACAAGCACCACTCGACAAAGGACTCAATCTTGAGTGAAATAAATACGGTGGCTTCCATCTTTGTATATATTATATTATTATCATTTTTGCATTGGAAACCTAAAAGAAGATATGCATCTTTAAAACCGAATCTTATGAATTAAATGGGGATATGTTATGAGTTGTAAGAATTAAATGGGGATAAGTTATGAATCTACAACTCAAAGCATGGGGATAAATAAAATTTATAGCGAGGGTTCAAGCCCCTCGATCCTCAAGATCTCAAAACTTCATTTTTTCGATTCTTTTTTAAGCGTACTTGAGCGAGAATTTGATTTAGAGTGCAAGACTCACCCGTCGAGCAGAGATGAAAGTCGGCCTTAGTGATCGATAGTCAAAGTCATTCCATTCCAGAGACTGTCCTCGATCAAAAGATCGTATTTCTAAATTTTCATAAGGTCCCCCTCGAATTCCTTCCAAAACTTGTTGAATAATTTTTATGGATTCCGTCATCTCACCAAGTCTGACTAAATAACGAGCTAATGAATCTCCTTCTTTTTGCCACTGAACTTCCCAATCAAATTCATCATAACACTCATAATGATCAACTTTACGAAGATCCCATGGTATTGGTCCTGATAACCCCCAATTTATTACCTCTTCTCCAGAAATAATGCCTACTCCCTCAACTCGTTCTAAAAAAATAGGATTTTGTGTAATAAGTTTTTGATATTCAGCAACCGCTGTCAAAAAATAATCGCAGAAATCCAAACATTTATCTATCCATCCATGAGGTAGATCAGCCGCGACTCCCCCGATACGAAAATAATTATGCATCATTCTCATACCGGTGGCTGCTTCGAATAGATCATATACTAATTTTCTTTCTCTGAAAAATATAGAAGAAGGGAGTCTATGGCCTTAGTGATCCGACGGTGCCGAGTGGAAGGGTCGTCGCTTAACAGATAAAAGTTACTCTAGGGATAACAAACTGATCTTCCTCAAGAGCTCACATCGACGGGAAGGTTTGACACCTCGATGTCGGCTGTTCGCCACCTGGGGCTGTAGTATGTTCCAAGGTGTAATTATTGAGTTATTTCAAATGATGGAATACAAAACTAATTAAAAATTAAATTTATATAATTTATTTTCAAAAAGTTAAATTATGGCTGGATTTAGAGTGCTTTTANACTTTTAAAAAAAAATTTTTTTTAAAAAAAAAAAAAAAAAAAAAAAAAAAAAAAAAAAAAAAAAAAAACTGATTTTAACACAAAAATAAATAAATAAATCACAAATTTTATTTTTGCCACATCAGCAATATTTTCACTATTGTTAATGATTGACACGTGTCTAATATTTTAAACATAAGTGATGTGTCATGTGTCTTGCTTCGTGAATCACGAAGCTCTTTCTTTAATCATTTATTTATTTATTTAACGATATTTCTTTTATTTATTCATTTTTAAAAGCAATCTTTGCCTATTTTTTTATTCATGGAATAATAAATTTGGGTAGGGGACACATTTATTATAATAAATAAATAAAATAAATAAAATACATAAATTTATTGATTTGCATAGATCGGTCTTTAGCTTATCGGTCATTTGACACGTTGATCTGTTTAGATCGACACGTTAGCTTGTTGATTTTTTTTTTTTTTTTTTTTATAGATCGTCAGCTGGCTTGATGGATTCTTGAACGATTACAAAAAGGACAAACCATTCATTTTAAGGGCGTGGAAATCTCTCATTAACAGACACATTTAAAAATCGTGAGGCTGATGACAATATGTAACAGATCAAAGTGGACAATATTTACTAGTAGTGAGTTTGATCGGTTACAAATGGTATTAGAACCAATCTTCGGAGGGTGTGCCAGCAAGGACACTAGGCCCTCAAGGAGATGGGGGTGGTGTGCCAACGAGGACACTAGGCCCCAAGGAGATGGGGGCAGTGTTCTAGTGAGGACACTGGACCTCAAGGAGATGGATTGTGAAAATCCCACGTCGGTTGGAGAAGAGGAGAACAAAACATTTCTTATAAGGGTGAGAAAACCACTCTCTACCATACACGTTTTAAAATCGTGAGGCTGATGGTGATACATTGTTAGGATCGCACAACAACACACACTTGATCTAGAGAAACACAAAGAATAATAAGAGAAAATGTCAAGAGATATAACCTTTTACTATATATAACTATCTACCATATATGGGTTTTTATGACAATTTACCTTTACTATATATAGCTTTACTATGTATAACCGTCCATTATAAATAATCAGTCGGCTCTATAACCTTAGCATCGTAATGGTAAAAAATAAACAATAACCGTTAGAAGTGAGTTTGAGCTATTACAGTAACTCCAGTGGACTAAGTTATAAATAAGTAGTAAGCTCCATACCCTATCGATTAAGTTATAAATAAGCAACATGTTCCATAACCTAACATCGTAACGGTATTGCTAGAAGTGGGTTTGAGCTGCTCCAGTAACTCCAATTGACTAAGTTGTAAATAATTAGCAGGCTCTATAGCCATAGCATGGTAATGGTCAAAAGCAAACAATAACTACTAAAAGTGAGTTTGAGTTGTTACAGTAACTACAGTAGACTAAGTTATAAATAAGCAGACTCCATAGCCTATTGACTAAGTTATAAATCAGCAGTGAACTCCATAGCCTATTGACTAAGTTATAAATAAGCAGCAAGCTCCATAGCCTAATATCGTAACGGTCAAAAGCAGGCAATAACGGCTAGAAGTGGGTTTGAGCTGCTACCGTAACTCCAGTTGACTAAGTTATAAATAAGCAGTCTCCATAGCCTAACATCATATCAGTCAAAAACATACCATAACCACTAAGGGTGGATTTGAGCTAATTTACTTTAAGGAAGAAATTCTATTAATTTGAGGGAATTTGTGGGAGAATTTTCTTAAAATATGTCAAATTTATGGTATCAGCAAAATCTATCAGACTAGGTTCAATCGTAGTCGGGGGTGCCTATATCAATTCATTGTTGCCTCATGACTTCAAATCGAGTGGCATGGGTCGACACATCTCAACTAAAACGATTCTTCGCCAAATATAGAATTAAGGATAAGAATCGCTGAAAGCAACCCTTCAATACAAATCACCATTTCTATAAATTACATCGACTGTGTGCGAGAGCAATGGTTAGTGGCTGCGGCCATTTTTGGAGCTTACGTCAATTTTAATGGCTTCTCTCTGGAACCCACCTGTTGCCTCCTTCTCCCCAATCAGACCCACCTTGAATCCATCAAAAATGGCGTCCAATTTCAACCATACCCTTCTTCGCAGAGGCAACGATACTGGCATTGGCGATGGCAAAGGCGTCTCGTCTTCTCTTTCGATGGCTACTGGTTGGAGCTCTGATGGTGGCGATAAGAGCACTAGGAAGCTTCCTGTTCTGCTGTTTGATATCATGGGTACCATTGTTCGTGATCCATTCTATGAAGATGTTCCCGCCTTTTTCAGGTGATTTGACCTTTTGTTTTGATTTTTAGTGTGAATTGTGCTGTATAGTTTATGGGAAGATCTGTTATCTGGATGAATGAAAACAGGGGAGAAGAAGTATTGTTTACTGATTTTGAAGATATATGGTTTGTTAATCCCATGGCCATAGTGCATTGAACATGTTTGCTTAAATGACTGATGAAATTCTCCTTTTGTGTTCATATTGTACACTGGCTTTTACAAATCATAGAACTTATAATCCGTTGCAAATCAATTCGAGCGTAGCTCAATGGATATAGGGGCTAGCCAATTCGAGCGTAGCTCAATGGATAAGCAGCTGGTCAATTCATTCAAGCATATCTCAATGTTTCAGGGGATAGCCAATTCGAGTATAGCTCAATAGATAAGCGACTAACCAATTCGATCATAGCTCAATAGATAAGCGACCAGCCAATTTGAGTATAGCTCACTGGATATAGCAGTTAGCCAATTCGAGTATAGCTCAATGGATATAGCAGCTAGCCAATTCGAGCATAGCTCAATGGATAAGCGGCTAGCCAATTCGAGCCTAACTCAATGATAAGCGGCTAGCCAATTGGAGCATAGCTCAGGGGCTAGCCAATTCAAGCATAGTTGAATGGAGGTAGGAGCTAGCCAATTGGAGCATAGCTCAATGGATAAGCGGCTAGCCAATTGGAGCATAGCTCAATAGATAAGCGACAATTGTCGATGATTCGATGGTTCGATAAACTAATGGTCGATGATTCGATAATGCGCCTGCAATTGTTGACTTGACAAAGGGAATCATAGTATATAGGTTTGAACTTCCCGTTTCTCAACTGGACTTCATAAATACTCTGTTCTCATCTTGTCCTATGGGTCCGGTACAAATAGAACATGCATGGTTGTTTTGTCTGTAAGTATATCCCTTTTCCCGTTGGTGCTTCTGAGGTTTGTTTCTGTAATTTAGCTTTCAGAAGAGAAGAAATCTTGACCACACGAGGAGCTTTTACTTGTTTGTGCAGAAGGGGAATAACTTTTTTCCTGTTAACTTCTCTTTCATGTTTCATTTGTTTGAACTTTCACATCATTGTTAGCTTTTTAAGGTTTATTTTAAGGCTATAAATAGTCATTCGTGTTGTTGATTTAGTATGAAGATTTTAGATATTATAATGAAAGTTGCATATTATAAGCCATGAACTTCTTCTTTTGCATTTCTTGTGTTTATATTTGCATGTTAGAGTCATTCAAGTAGTCTTGATCAAACTATCATGTGAAATGATTCGAATCACGAGTTTAGAAACGAGTTTTCTTAACTCTTGATCTTGATCATCAAGGTAATCCATTCCTTAACATTTCCTTGGGTTGATTCCTTATCATTTTTATGGTTCTTGGATAATTTAGATCTTAAGAACCGTTTAATAAAGTAAGTTGTAGTTTCCACTAGTGTGCAGGCTCTTTGTTTTTGTGAAATTTATTACTTAGTATGATGCCTTAACTAATTGGATCTGAATTCACTGTTTAGAATGCCCATGGAGGAACTACTTGAACTCAAACACCCAACCGTGTGGCTAGAATTTGAGAAGGGTTTGATTGATGAGGTATGTCTACCTTCTTATTAGCCTATGTTACCATTTAGGAGTGATAAAAGGAACCTTTAAGGTGGTTTATATAGCAATAATGAGAATACAAAGAGAAGTTGGAAATAAAAAGAACAATAATAATAAAGGAAAGAAATATTACGTGAGATCCCACATTGGTTGGGGAGGAGAATGAAGTACTCTTTTATAAGGGTGTGGAAACCTCTCCCTAATAGACGCGTTTTAAAGACCTTGAGGGAAAGCCTGAAAGGAAAAGCCGAAAGAGGACAATATATGTTAGCGTTGGGTTTGGGCCATTACAAATGATATTAGAGCTAGGCAGTGAGCGATGTACTAGCAATGAGGCTAAGCCCCAAAGGGGGGTGGACACGAGACAGTGTGCTAGAAAGGATGCTAAGCCTCGAAGGGAGGTAGATTGGGGGGTCCCACATCGATTGGAGAAGGGAACGAGTGTCAGCGAGGATGCTAGGCTCCGAAGGGGGGTGGATTGTGAGATCCCACATTGGTTGAAGAGGAGAACGAAACACTCTTTATAAGGGTGTGGAAACCTCTCCCTAGCAGATGCATTTTAAAAAGTTTGAGGGGAAGTCTGAAAGGGAAAGCCCAAAGAGGATAATATCGGCTAGTAGTAGGCTTGGGTCGTTAGATAGGGAGACTACCATGGTGAATTTGCCATGTTTTCATAAGCTCTCACCCTCTGAGGAGCGGCATTCTGATTCCTGATGGGCTTGAATGCCACCATTGCTTTCTCTTCCCTTTATTTCTTCTTCGAGTTTTACTGTATTTGCTTCTGCCCCTTCTAAAACAAATTTGACCTCTAGTGATCATTGAAGTTCTTTATAGTTCACTCAACTCAACTGATTGGTTAAAAAAATGAAGGGGATAGGATATAGTTGAACACTTTATTTGCTAGTTCTTAATGCCTGACTTATATTTCTAAAACCTTTTGTTTACTTCAAGGCAGAGCTGGAAAAAAAATTCTTTAAAGATGGGCGAGCTGTTGATTTTGAAGGTTTGCTGGGTTCTCTTCCTGTTTTTCTTTTTTTGTTCCTTTTTTGTTTCCAATTTTATGTCATTCTCTTTCCATGTTCTAAAAGAATAGAAATTACTTTAGAAAGTGTGAAATCTCACCTCGGTTAGAGAGGGGAACGAAACACTCCTTATAAGGATGTGAAAACCTCCCCCTAATAGACGCGTTTTAAAAACCTGGAGGGAAAGCCCAAAAAGAACAATATCTGCTAACGAGAACGCTGGCCTCCAAGGGGAGTGGATTGTGAAATCCCACGTCGGTTGGAGAGGGGAACGAAGCATTCGTTATAAGAGTGTGGAAACCTCTTCCTAACAGACGCGTTTTAAAAACCTTGAAGGGAAGCTCGAGAGGTAAAGCACAAAGAGGACAATATGTTGGGCCGTTACCGAAAGAGACTTTTTGGATGTAAATAAAAACGTGTGTATACCCATGCATGATGTCAGTATACTCTTGCATATAAATGATCATGTTGATTAGAATGATTGGTAATGCGACTTAAACTGATTTACCACAACTTTCAGAATATTTGAACACAAGTTGTCCAATTCAATACGCTAATACTCCGTTTATGAGGCTTTATCAAATCTTTTTGAAGGTTGAACTCTGGAAATTAACATACTGAAAATTTTTGCACTATCTTTCACTCTTATTTGAAAGGCAATAAACCAATTGCTTAACTCATTTACTTGGGTTTTATACTTCTGTTTTTTACACATGCTACTTGAAACCGCCTAAGCCCACCACTAGCAGATATTGTCCTCTTTGGGTTTTCTCTTTCGGGTTTTCCCTCAAGATTATTAAAACGTGTCTACTAGGGAGAGGTTTCCACACCTTTTATTAAGTGTGTTTCGTTCTCCTCTCCAACCGATGTGGGATCTCACAATCCACCCTCCTTTGAGGCCCAGCGTCCTCGCTAGTACTTGTTCCTTTCTCCCATTGATGTGGGATCGCCACCAAATCCACCCCCTTCAGAGCCCAGCGTTCTTGCTGGCACACCGCCTCATGTCCACCCTTTGGGTTATTACATTCTCTTCTTTATCATTATTTATAATGTAAATATTAGCCGGTGTACCGTGTGTTCTTCCTCTTTTAGCTTCAATTAACATCATTTTATCTATCTTTCCAGGCCTCAAAAACTGTATGATAAGGGGTTACTCCTACCTAGAAGGCATTGAAGAATTGCTAAATGCACTAAAAGAGAAAAACTATGAAATGCATGCCTTCACAAACTATCCTATTTGGTTCGTGAGAAAATAATCTTAGCATGCCATTTCTTGCGATTAAATGTGTCATTATTAACTTTTGTGATTTCATTTGGCAGGTACGAAATGATCGAGGAGAAGTTGAAAATCTCGAGATATCTATCGTGGACCTTCTGCTCTTGTAAAAACGGTAATGCTCAAATTCTGAAAGGCTTTCCTCTTCTTTAAGTTCTCCTCCCTTGCCTCTCATCCTTTCTGTCGTTTTATTGACATTATGAAGCTACGTAGAAAATGAATAAAGTTTATAACATGGTTTTGAGACAATGATATAGTAGAGTTTTAAAGCGCGTCTGCTAGGGAGAGGTTTTCACACTCTTATAAAGAATGTTTCGTTCTCCTCTCCAACCGATGTGGGATCTCACAATCCAACCCCCTTTGGGCCCTAGCGTCCTTGCAGGCACTCGTTCCTTTCTCCAATCGATGTGGAACCCCCACCAAATCCACACCCCTTCTGGGCCCAGCATCCTTGTTGACACATCGTCTCATGTCCACCTCCCTTCGGGGCTCAACCTCCTCACTGGCACATCGCCCGGTGTCTGGCGCTGATACTATTTCTAACAGCCCAAGCCCACTGCTAGCAGATACTGTCCTTTTTGGGCTTTCCCTTTCGAGCTTCCCCTCGAGGTTTTTAAAACACGTCTGCTAGGGAGAGGTTTCCACACCCTTATAAAGAATACTTCGTTCTCCTCCCCAACCAATGTGGGATCTCACACTAACTCCGAAACCAAAAACTTCGAATACAACTCATCAACACAATCTGAACAAAAGTCTCAAGAAACCGTTCCATCAAGAGCTCACATCAAAAGTTGAGTAACTGCAAAAATTTTCAGATGTAGTATACAAAGAAGCCACATTTAGCTTAACAAGATCAAAGTCTTTCTTCCAGAAGATCCTGTTTTCCTTCAAATAAGTGCTGAACTGTCCAATAAACCCACACAATTGGTTTCACAATGTTGACCTATAATACTTTTGCTCTCCCTTTCAAGCCATGACCTTTGCTACCTTCTTACAACTCTCAGTCCATCAACCGACCATAAAAGCTCAAACCAACATACCCACTTACTAACTGGTTCTTGCACAATTCCCTTTTTGTTTAGATCTAGAATGACTCACTCCCCCCTCACACAAGGAGTTGTTGTAACGGCCCAAATCCACCGATAGCAGATATTGTCCTCTTTGGACTTTTCCTCAAGGCTTTCAAACGCATCTACTAGGGGAAGGTTTCCACACCCTTTTAAATGGTGGTTTGTTCTCCTCCCCAACCAATGTGGGATATCACAATCCACCCCTCTTTGGGACCCAGCGTCCTTGCTGGCACTCTTTCCTTCCTCCAATCGATGTGGGACTGCCCCCAAATCCACCCCCCTTTGGGGCCCAGTGTCCTTACTGGCACACCGACTCGTGTCTACCCCCCTTCAGGGAACAACAAGAAGGCTGACACATTGTCTGGTGTTTGGCTCTGATACCTTTTGTAACGGCCCAAATCCACCGCTAGTAGATATTGTCCTCTTTGAGCTTTCTCTTTCGGGCTTTTCCTCAAGGCTTTAAAACACGTCTGCTAGGGAAAGGTTTCCACACCCTTAATAATGGTGGTTTGTTCTCTCCTCTCCAACCAATGTGGGACACCACAGTCATACTTTCTTAGTTCAACAAATATAATAACTTGATATTGTAAACTTTTGGAGGTACACTGAACTAGTCATACTTTCTTAGTTCAACAAATATAATAACTTGATATTGTAAACTTTTGGAGGTACACTGAACTAGTCTAGACCGCCTTAAAATTGATTGCTTCTAAACATCTAAGTAAAAATAAACTGAAAAATGTTTAGCGTCTCTTTCTTCTGTGTTCTTTTCTTCCATCATGTCGTTTTTCAGATATCAGGAAAGTAGCGAAGTTGGATATGCCATTGACTTATAAATTATATTGAATCCTGTTTTTCATATGTTATAGGAAAGAGGAAGCCGGATCCTGATTTCTACTTGGAAGCCCTGAGACATCTTGAAGTTGAGCCAGCTAGCTGTATTTTCATTGATGACAGGTTTGACTTATTTAAAGTAAAGAAAATGAAATGGAATTATGATCGGAAGCCTCTATACATTTTACCAATTTGTTCTTATTATATAGATATCAAGTAATACATCAGAAATCTATCCCATATGCATAAGGTCACTTTCCTGTTCTGTCGTTGAATGTTGACATAGTAGGGGTGAGATTTCACGTTGGTTGGAGTGGAGAACGGGACATTTCTTATAAGGGTGTGGAAACCTTTCCCTATTAGACGCGTTTTAAAACCTTGAGGGAAAGCCCGGAAGGGAAAGTTCGAAAAGGATTGTCTGCTAGAGGTGGGCTTGGACTGTTACAATTGGTATCAGAGCCAGACATCGGGCGGTGTGTTAGTGAGGATGTTGGGCCACCAAGGAGGGGTGGATTGTAAGATCCCATATTGGTTGGAGAGGAGAACAAAACATTTCTTATAAAGGTGTGAAAACTCTCCTTAGTAGATGTGTTTTAAACCTTGAGGGAAAGCCCAAAAAAAACTATTTGCTAGCAGTAGGCTTGAACTACTACAAATGGTTATCTAGAGCCAGACACCAGGCGGTGTGTCAACAAGGACGTTGGGTTCTCGAGAAGAGGTGGATTGTGAGATCCCACATTGGTTGGAGAGGAGAACGAAACATTTCTTATAAGGGTGTGGAAACCTCTCCCTAGTAGACGCGTTTTAAAACCTTGAGGGAAAGCCTAGAAGGGAAAGTTCAAAGAGGACAATATCTGCTAGCGGTGGGCTTGGGCTGTTACAAATGGTATCAGAGCTAGACATCGGGCGGTGTGTCAATGAGGATGTTGGGCCACCAAGGAGGGGTGGATTGTAAGATTCCACATTGGTTGGAGAGGAGAACAAAACATTTCTTATAAAGGTGTGGAAACTCTCCTTAGTCGACACGTTTTAAACCTTGAGGGAAAGCCCAAAGAAGACAATATTTGCTAGCGTTAGACTTGGGCTGTTACAAATGGTTATCCAGAGCCTTTTCAGTACTAGTCAATGGGTAGCTTAGCCGAAATTTGGACTTTTAGTTCAACTGGTTCCTTGGGTTAAACTATTCATAAAAGGTTAAACTAGCGGTAGCTTTTGGGTCGAGCGGTGATCTAGCATGATATTAGGTAATCTCATTTATCTTGATTTCCACTTGTTTGACCTTTTATAAATTTTCTAGTCCATGAGTGAGGGAGAAAATTTATCTTAACCCGTCAACTTAAATTTTTGGGTTGAACGGTGATCTATCACCTTTCGTTTGTTATCGAATGGAGATTTAAAAAATGATACAAACTGCTTTTCATCTATTGTGCACAAATAGAAGTGAGAATTTACCACTTTCTCATTACAAGTTTACTTGCAGAAAGAAAAACGTAGAAGCAGCGAAAGAAGTCGGCATTGTAGGCTTACATTTCAGAAGTGCAGATTTACTACTACAGGATCTCTGTCGTCTGGGACTCGATATTTCACCCGATATTCATCGCTTGAACTCGGCAGCATCGACATGAACGTACCGGACACGTTGCTGAGGTTTGTTCTGTTTCTTTTTCTTGATTTGGAAATGAAAAATGAACTCATCTTTACTATGATTCAATTGATTTCCATAATGGCATGCTGTGTTGAGATTGTTCTGGCTGTGGATTCTTTTGTGGGATTCTGTTTACTGTTCATAATGTTCAAAACATTCATCTGTAATCAATACAATTATGAGCAAATCAATACTCATCTGTTCTTCATTATGTTCTCTTTATGATTGGAAGAAAGGACATGAATATGGAAGCAAGATCAACATTGTCTCTTAAGAATATTACTATGTTTTTTTTCTAGTTGCTGAAAAAAAGTGCCAGTGCCATTTTTTTAAGATTTTGTCTACACGGGTAGTTTGATTTAAGATTTTGTGACGTCTAAGACTAAAATGTCTGAAAATCCAAGATAATTGTGTATGAGATCTCACAATCCACTCCCCTTAGGAGCCAGCGTCCTCGCTAGCACACTGTTGGGTATTTGTCTCAGATACCATTTTTTGTCACCCTCACTGTTTTAAAATGTGTCTGCTAGGAAGAGGTTTACAGGATCTTACATGCACGATTTATGTAGTATGTACAACGAGCAAAAAAGAAAAAAATTCATATATGTTAGATGTTCAAATTTTTTTTATAATTTTTAAAATAAAAGTAAACATAATAAAATAACTCGAAAATGGCACGAAAAAATTTTATTTTATTTAGTCTTTATAATTTTTAAATATTTAAATTTAGTTTATGTATTTTTAATATATCTTAAAATTAATTTTTTCCGTGGATTGAAATTATTTTTATTTAAGCAAAGCACGATGTAAATATATATATTTTTTTATCAAATTTTCGACTAAATATTTTTAGCAAAATATAATGAAATTAACTAAAATGTTATTTTTATTAAAATTATTATTTATAAAAAGAAAAACTAATTGGAAAATACGCTCCACTTGAAAATATATATGCTTGAGAATTTCAATTTCCTGCACAAAGCCCACGCTTTGAGTTCCTTGCCAAGCAAACGCTGTCCAAGTTCTTCCTTTTTTGTCTTTGATTTGTATGTAGTTTCACAATAATCGAAGCTCATACAATAATTTTGGTTGCTAATCTTCTCTGGTTACGTGCTTCCATTATTATACCTTCAAGATCTCCAATGGCAGACCCCCGCAACTTGTCTTGCTACAACTGCGGCAGCGTTGGGCTTACAGACGGTGGCGATGGCTTCTTCTACTGTCTCCAGTGTGGTTCCCAGGCCGACGACATCATCGACACCGGTGTTGCCGACGAGGATTTGATTTTAAGAGACCCTGGTGATGCCGGTGGCCCAATCTACTCGCAATCCCACACGCGCCGTCGTAATCCGGCGGTGTTGAAGGTAGAGCCTATATCTCAGTCTCAACCACAGAGCCTTTTCGGTACTAGTCAATCTGAGTTCTGGGAGAGCCTTCAATTAGAGGGAGACAACGATATGCAAAGGGATGATGCCATTGTGATGTCTAATGATGGTGTTGGGCCGATTGGTCCTGAGGATTTCGGGTCGGGTGGTGTGTTATCTGGAGCTCCGAGTTTTGAGGAGTATGCTGATGAAGTGAGGATGAGATATGTAATGGGGTTGCAGTTGATGATGGAGCTTCAGTGCGAAGTTTTGGTGAAGGAATTCAATGCAAGCCCTGTAATCTGTGGATTGGCGGCGAGCATTTGGTTGAGGTTTGTGACTTCTACACAGGTTTTTGACGAGGATTGGGCCTTTGAGGCCGTTCAGGATTCCGAGAGCCAATGCCTAGGTTTGATCACTCATTACTTCCACTAATAGTTCCTATCAAATTTAAGTGCCCATGAATCATGTTGGTAAAACTGAAACCATTAGCTTTAGATTTCCGATTGGAACATATTCGTGGATGGGAGACTTTAAATGTTTGGATTCTGTGGATTCTGATAAATTCCTTGAAAACTTAACTCATTATTGTTATTACATTGTCTTTTTTGGCCTTTGATCTTGTTTGCATATTCAAATATCATAGTTCTAAGTGCATATAGCCATTCGTGATACACTTCTCCTCAGTTTCTTTGTAATGGGGCATGATTTTGTTTGAGATCTTACAATTTTGCAAGTAGGATAATTGCCTTATTTGTTCCTTTACGTACTGTTGGTTGAGTTTTCTTCATATATTTCAGTATGTTTGATTGTTTTAAATGGGTCTCTTAGTTTTTTTTATTACTTTTTGTCATCTTTCTTTTTCGATTTTAGTTGCAAACTGATTGTTCCTTCATTCAACAGATCCTGAAAACATTAGACCTGTTTCCAGTAGGCATAAAGATGAACCCCACAATTTGTATGGTCAGCGGGTAGTAGTTGTGTGGGTTCAATCTTTAAGAAAAAAGATACCATTATCTTGTACACTAGCTGTTTCCTTTTTGGCTTGCCATGTTGCTCGAGAAGCGATTTTACCAACAGACATAATGAAGTGGTCACTTGAGGGGAAACTTCCATATTTTGCTGCTTTTGTTGACATTGGAGATCGCATTGGGCAAACGTCAAGGGCTTGTCCTATAAGTTTAAAGCATATGTATAGGCCCTCTCGAATTCCCTCACTGCAGAAGTTGGAATCATTGGCAGCATCGGTAGCTCATACCATAGGGCTCAACCTACCTCCAGTCAACTTTCATTCAATAGCACGTCGTTATCTCAACAAGCTGGCCCTTCCTGTTGATAAGATTTTGCCTCATGCTTGCCGCATTTATGAGTGGTCAATGCCTCCTGATTTGTGGTTATCAACCAATGAGCTGAGGCTTCCCTCACGTGTTTGTGTAATGTCGATTCTAATTATAGCCATGAGAATTCTCTATAATCTCCATGGTTTTGGAGAATGGGAAAAGAGTTTGTCCGGTAATTGTGCTTCATCTTTCCCACCTAACCAGAAGAGGCATTCAAGTCCTGCTAATAATTTCAGTAACGTGCAGGCTAATAGTGAAAATGGACCTGGATTTACTTCACATAATGTGGATAATCTGTCTGTCTCGGCTAAATTCTCGCATCTTCACATGCCTGAACTGACTGCTTCAGAGTTCCTTCACAAGATTGAAGCTCGGTATCACGAGATTGCTGAGACTTATGGTATGATTTAAGTTTTATTGTATTTTTAAAGTTAGGCCAACCAGAAGCTTTTTTCCTACCTGCTCACTCTATTTATTACTAAATTGTTATTTGCTGACACCAAAATTTTGTTGGCAGAATACTCTAAAAGCTTGCCAATCTATCTTCAGCACTGTAAGGATGTTGTCTTTGCTGGTTTAGAGTCTTTGTTTGAGGATCACGAGGAAGAAAGGTTGATTGAACAATTTTGGAAGTATTATCAGAATGAAAAGGTAGTGGCTATCATGCTGAAGTCTGGCCTTCTTCTTTTCTCTTGAGAATCAAATTCAATTTCGCTGCTGATTGTGATTCTTGTGAAATATATAATGAATTTCTTTTACTTTTTCTTTCCTTTTGTCACTAGGATGAGATTTTGATCTTTAGGGTATATAGTGAGAAAACAAACAAAGAAGGGAAAGAGGAGACTAGCCGGGACGTTTTATACTAATGAGGCTATCTCGAATCACTGGATGAGGCTTTTTTTTTTTTTTTTTTATCGCTCTTACTTACTATCGTGAACCAACCGGTTACTGATAGAGGCTTCTTAGCTAAATTTTCATAGCCTAAGAGTGATTCCAAAAGCTAATGTTCGTCCTATTACTCATCTTAGGGTTAAATACTCTTAGCAAACTTTTAGGAGTCATGTGGTGTTGAGACTTTGGTATTTGCAAGTGAACCAACCCCCTTTTTCAACCCTATAAAGACATGAAAAGCCGGAATGGCACATAAATCTTTCTCTAGAGAAGAACCCCCTTTTAATACTCTTAGTTGCTACCGTGACACTTTGGGTAGGATTAGCCAAGTACATCATTTCATCCCTAAAGAAACACCTTCAAGAATTGTGGTTCTTATGGGCGTTGAGGGCATTGGTTTGTGGTAAGCCTAGAGATTTGAGTGGGAGGATGTAGAAAGCGTAGATTTGATTAATCTGAGTTGAGTTTGAGGTGCAAGTTTAGGAAGCTTGTTCTTGGGGTGAGAGGAATAATAGATTCTTTCTAGGGGATACACGGATTCATGCCACTCAAACCCAAACCCTCACCTGAAATATGCTCTTAATGTATTAAAAGTTCTAGCATTAAAACGGTAGTTAAAGATGAATTGATGTTTCTTTATGATGGAGGAAAGAAATTCAATTCAGAAGTGTAAGTTGTTGTGGCTATGCAATAATGAGTTAATTTTTTACATGTCTCACATGCAATGACAGAGAACGTCTCTTCAATTGTTGCCAGTTCAACTTACGTTTATAACTATCACCTGTACTTAAGGTTATTCCTTTGGTAGGATGGCTTCAGCCCCCCTAACAGATCTTAACTATCACCTGTAGTTATTTATGAGATTTAGGAATTTATGTAATTGGAATGAATCAAAGTTCGTAGCATATGGAGTCTAACAATTTGTGGGTGAGAGATTTGAACTTCTGACCTCTTACTCGAGAGTACATGTTTTATGCTAGTTGAGTTATCCTCATGTTGGTGACATCTATTTACTTAACACTTTTAGATAAATGTATGTTTATCGTTGTTTTCGTAATGGTTATATGTAACAGCCTAAGCCACCGCAGCTAGCAGATATTGTCATCTTTGGGTTTTCCCTTTCGGGCTTCCCCTCAAGGTTTTTAAAACGCATCTCCCAGGGAGAGGTTTCTACACCCTTATAAAGAATGTTTCATTCTCCTCTTTCACTGATGTGGGATCTCAGAATCCACCTCTTTTGGGCCTATCGTTTTCGTTGGCACTCGTTCTTTTCTCCAATCGATTGTGGAACCCCCTAATCCACTCTCCTTCGAGACCCAGCATTCTTGCTAGCACTCGTTCGGCGTCTGGCTCTAATACCATTTGTAACAACCCAATTCCACTGCTAGCAAATATTGTCCTATTTGGGCTTTCTCTTTCGGGCTTTCCCTCAAGGTTTCTAAAACGCTCTGCTAGGGAGAGGTTTCCATACCCTTATAAAAAATGTTTCGTTCTCCTCTCCAACCGATGTGGGATCTCACATTATAACTTGGTCATTTTTCTTCTCGATGTTCTTTGGAATTAGTGAAAGGTTGCTGCTCAATGTAGAGTTCTTATGAGAAAATTGTGACTTATGC